AGAGAGAATGAGAGAGAGCACATGAGAGGGGGGAGGGTCAGAGGGAGAAGCAGGCTCCCCGCCGAGCAGGGAGCCAGACGCGGGACTCGATCCAGGGACTCCAGGATCATGACCTGAGCCGAAGGCAGTCGCTCAACCAACTGAGCCACCCAGGCGCCCCCTCTGGTTCACCGTCTTACACCGAGCAGGCACTCGGCACTGCCAGGCGTGCAGCTGGTGGTGGGAGAGTGGATGGGCGTGTGGTGAGGGCGGCCCATGCTGTAAAGCTGCTGCGGGGTAGCCCGCAGAGCAAAGCTGGAACCTCTGTCCTCTCTGAAGAGGGAGGGACCTCAGAGGGCCCAGCCAACTCCTTCTGGCTGGCGCAAAAGCCAGAGTGAGGGCTCCTCTCTGCAGCTAGCCCTGTGTCGCATGGGGCCCCCACGGAGCTCACCCCTTCTGTGGCGTGGCCGCCATCCCCCCACTCGCTCAGCCCTCAGGGAGACTCACCCATCGGTGGCGTCGCCAATGTCTGTCGCCCCACAATCTGGGCTGGCCCCAGCCCATCCAGGAAATCACTGAACTGGCTTTCAGCCCCAAGCCGAGTGGTGGGGAAAATGAACCTGGAGGAAGACGCAGAGGGGCACATGAGGTGGCCTGGATGGTGAGATGTAGTGGCTCCGCCCCGCGGACACTGGGCCATGCCCCTCTGTGCCTCAGTTTCCCCTCTCCATAGCATGAGTGCCCTGCTTTAGCTGGGGACAAACAGAACTCTTCATCTCTGCACGTTAAATAAAAATACTCTGGTGTCCCTTGAGAAATAGTAAACATAATAATGTTATCTAATCCTCAAGCACCAGGATTTTCTAAGGTGACCCTTAAAAGGCAGGGCTTGCGGGACACCTATGTCCTCCCCTGGGGATATGACTGCCAAGAACCAGAAACATAGGCCAGAAATTTCGATGCCTGGAGCAAGTTCTAAGAACTGAGGTTTAGTTGACCATATGTTTGGAATCCAAGTCGATAACGTGAGGTGGTGTCCAAAACAGCAACCGAGACCAAAATAACACAATTGCAGGGTTGAGATAAAAGGCGAGCGATGGTGGGTGGTCCCTGGTTGTGGGGTCTGGAAACAGTAGCGAGCAACACTGATAGTGATCAAGAGCTGGGCGGGCGCCAGCAGCGCACCAAACGCTCCGCAAGCATCGCGTTCATTCCTGCTATTCTGTGCAGCGGGAGCTATGCTTGTCTTACAGATGAGAAAACAGGCTTAGAGAGGTAAGACTTGCCTTGACTGTAAAACAGTGATGTGATGCCCACCTTGCAGGGTTATGGTGGCAATTGGGGCAGCTGGTGTGTGAAAGGTTCCAGACAAGCAGGACACAATAAAATGGTAGTTCTGATGTTGCTGTGAACATCGAGGGCAGTGCCCCCCCTTAGGCACTCAAGGCTACATGTTCTGAGGGTGGCCAGGAGAGAAAGGACCAATGGGGGAGGGCGGACCCGGCTCTGCTCGGGGGGGCTACAATGGACCAAAGTTCTAAGACCTCCTAGAATAGCCCAGGTATCTGGCCTGAGAGATCAGACTGTCCCAGAACGACTCCCCCCTTGGAAAGTTGGGCCTTGAGTCCCCCTTGGCCAGCGACAGGCAAGGAGAAAGACGGGTTGCCTACACTTGTCAAAGAGGGCCTGAATTTCCCCAACAAGGCTGGCCTCCACTCTGAGGGAAGGGGCTTCGAGGCCCACCCACTCTTACTGGCTGTCAGCGATAACCCCAGCCCGCACTCTGAAGAAAACCTGAGAAGGTTAAATAAGGTCACGGACTCTCAAGGTCACAGAATTTTAGGAGCTTGGTCTAGAGAGTGTAGAGGTTGTGAACAAAGGTTATAGAGTCAAATGGCCTTAATTCAAACCCTGACTCCACCACCACTGAACAGCTGTGACCTTGGGTGGGTACCTCACTCTCCTCCCATGCCTCAGTCTCTCCACATGGAACATGGAGATCATGGTAGTGCCGACATCCCTCAGTGTTAAATGAGACACAGTTTTTGGTCTGATGGTGGCTGGTAGATCCCAGAGTAAGAAGCACCCATCTGAAGTGCCTAGTGACACCCTGCATATGCAGTAAATGCCCCTGGCCATTTGCATTCATGGAAGTGGGCACAGTAATGAGACACAAGATCATAGAATCCTAAATAATAGAGCCACAGGGCCCTGCTATCAATGGGCCTTGATGAAGCCGAACCAGAAAATCTTAGTCGTATAGCCAGCTTCATAGATTTGGGAGGGACCAAGGGAATATCTAACCCAGTGACTTTTGAATTTTTGACTGCAACTCCCATGCAATGGAAAAAATACATTTAACATCATAGACCTCTGTGCATCCATATATTAAAAAACCAAAACAAAAGTTCACAAGGTAATTCATCCTCACACCACAGGATATGTTTGAAATTTCTATTTCTTTCCCTAATGCTGGTTTTGACCCACTAAACTGATTTTACTTCCTGCCTGAGTCACCAACCACAGTTTGAAAAACACCAATCCAGCCCAACCTCCTTCTCTCAGCTCCATGCAAGACCACTTGTGAGAACTCCACTCATCGGAGCCGTAACAATGGTTTCAGATCGAAAAGGATTCTGGGTCCACATTTTCCTCCGGAGCCCTCTCGTCTGAGGGCAGTGTGTAGGTGCCGGGGGCTGGGAGGCATGAAACATACAGATGGGATGCAGTGCCCCTGGGGCCGCTGGGGGGTTTGGATGGGAAACAGCAGCCCAGAGCAAGAGGAAGACTGGGGCGCAGGCAGCGGATGTCCATGGAAGGCAGGGACGCAGAGGAACCCAGACATCTGGACCCGAAACCCAGCCAGAAAGATTTCCCCACCCTGCCCCCTGACTCTGGGACTAGAGGACCATGCGGGAAGGTGGGGACCAGAGTGGACATGGGCTGCACGCACGTGCCCTCGGAGCTGTTGCTGTTGGTGCTCCCATCTGTGGACTCCCGGCTGCCCTGGCGTGTGACCCGACTCCGCATCTCCACCGCGATGCCCGTCTCTGTGCTCCGCCGGATGTTGCTGCGCAGCTTCTTGGTGGCCCCTTCTGGGACCCCCGAAAACAAAGAAAGGGAACAAGGTCAGATCAGTGATGAGGCTTCTGTGGGAGTGCTGCCAAGGTCACCTCTTGGGATGGGGCAGGACGGGCAGGGCTCTGATTGGAGGCAGGGGCGCTGCTGAGCTGGTTTGCACAGTGACAGGGACGAAGACTAGAAAGATGGCTGGAGGCAGCGTCAGGATGGTGGGGCTGTGGGGTGGGAAGTCACCAGGTGCAGCCCAGCCCTGCAGCGTTCACCCTCATCCCTGCCAGGCTCCCTGATGGCCACCTTCCCAACTCAATTCCAGCCTTTGCCCCAAATGGAGAAAGTGTTCCTTTCTCTTCTGGAAAGGTTGCTTTCTCTGGCATTCCCAGATTTGCTTTCCCTCTTCCAGGTACCCTCATGAACCCTATCACACCCGGACCTCACACTCCACCTCTGTGATACCTTCATAGGCCCAATAAAACCCCCATGGGAAGCTTGGCCACTCTCAAACTAACCTGCATTCTCAAGGTGGGTCTGAATGTGGAGGGGGATGTGTGCGGAGGGGTACAGAGGCCATGAGGGAAGCAAGACTGAGAGAGACCACTAGGTTGACCTGAACAGACCTTGGCTTTGAGAGGTCTGCAGAAGAACCCCAGAAACCACATGGTGAGAGCTCACTCTGTGTCTCTGTACCTCTCATTTGGAGGGCCCTCTACCCTCACCCCAGCCCCCCTCTTGAGCCTTGCAGGGAACATGGGGCACTTTGCCTCTCCTAGTAGCACACCATCCTGCCTGGGTTTCCATGGCAACCTCCTCAGCATTGCAGCGAGGTCCCCCTAGACACCCTCTCCTCCTGGGGGGGCGGAGCAGAAGACGGGTTGAATTGAAGGTTTGCAGGCCTGCCCCTGCTGAAGCTTCACTGCCTGAAGAGCTTGACAGGAAGGGAAGATGGCATCACATAAGGACTGCGTCAAAGGAGCCACTGGTTAGAGGCCTGGGCAAATTAAGAGTGGAATTGCCACCAGGGCTGAGGAGGCTGGGAGGGGGGCTGGCAGCACAGCCTCCAAAAGCAGTGGGGAGGGGGGAGCCGGTTATGCTGGCCACCCCGTCTCCGGGCCACACCCCAATGGTGCACTGGGGAGGCACTGTTCAAAATGCCAGCCTAAGAAAAGGGGGGCTTCAGTCTCCCTGCTTCATCCTACTTACATTTCAGGAAGTCCCCCCAGCGGGAGGGAAGGCTGAGAGGGCCGGCCCCACCAATGGATGGGATGGGGGGACTGGGAGTGGGGATGGGCTGGTGGTGAGGAGGAATGTCTTCTCTGAAGCCAGCCCAGCTTCTGGGATATTGGAATAGCTACTGTCCACAAGTCAATGAGACCACCGATATGTCTATCAGTCTGTCTCTCTCTCTCTGTGTCTCTCTCTCAAACACACACAGAGTCACTTTAGCTGATACGTATTTCTTTCACACAAGCATAAGTAGATACAATGAGTGCTAACAATCACATATATGAGTACAGCGATCTCCCACACCAGGTCATGTATGTTCATATAATGGGCACACAGTCACTAACAGTCCTACTAGGTCTTAGTCACACATACACACAACACACTCTGCCACATACATGTGACCGTCACACCATAACACCTGATTGAACCCCTCCACTCGATCACAAACAGTGTGTGACCCACCACACAGAGGACTGGGCAATGATGGTGGGTGTAGGGTGCTCACCTTATCCCTGACTCCTAACTGCCACATCCCCTCTAACCCAGTTAGGAGACAGATGGGTCTGTGGGAGCTGCACTTTACCCTCCCGCATATCTCCCCTCCCCCGACAACACACACCCTGAGCTGAAGCCAGAGCCTCACCACCCCATGGCCCCAACCCTCCTCTTCTAGACCCACTTGGGAGAAAATTTACCTTCTTTGACCTACCCAATGCACTGTGAGCCCCTGGGTAGGGGTGTCACAGAATCCTGAAGTATTAGAGACACCTCGCTAGCCCCCCACTGCCATTTCACAAATGGCGAGCCTGAGGTTCACGTGCTCACAGGGCTGGGGTCAGACCCCAGGCCCACACTCTCCTGATCTACTGACGGCCTACTTTTCACTCCTCTCCATCAAGTCCACATTGGTTTGAGAAGTGATTCAGCAGAGATTAAGTTCCATATCTTCTGGGCGGGGAGAAAGTTCTTGCAGCTTCAGAGGTCTTGTCCAGTCTGAACTCTGTCGATCTGGGAGTAACTTTATGTAGACTCTCTCTCTCTCTCTAAAGAACTGGGCCAAGTTGCTTGCAATAATTCTGTGGTGCCTGGAGACTGAAAGACTCCAGGAACCATCTCATCTGTCCCACCACATACAAGGGAGAGGGAGAGCCTTTAGCAGCACTGCCCATGGCATCTCCTGGAATGGTCCTGAACCCTCTTCCCAGAGCCCAGAGCCCAGAGCCCAGAGCCCAGGTGGGAAGGGCTGCTGTCCCTGGTACTGAAACGAGGAGCTTCATTTGGGCAGAGGCTAGAATGGCCCAGCCTAAGGCCAGGCCAGAACCTACCTATGTCCTGGGACCCTAAAGCTCTGCCCCTACCCTCATCATTGCTCCTACAACTTAGAGAATGTTAGATCTAGAAGGAAGCTGGGAGACTAAGACCGTCTTTATAGCTCCATTTTACAGAAGAAGAAATTGAGACCCAGTGAGAAGATGACTCTCCCACGGTCCCATGGGGAGTTAAAGAGCTAGAACTAAATTCTAAAGTTTCAGGGTGAGTTTCTGGAAGGCCACTTGAGTTAAATGTGAGGAATAAACTGGAAGGGGCAGGCATGAGGCAGGGGAACTAGAGAGGAGGCTGGGGCAATAGTCCAGGCTAGATATCACGGGGCCTGAACTAGGACAGAGGCTTTGAAACAAAGAGGAGATGGGTGGGGCTGGAGCCATTACATTGTATGGACAGACCCTGAGGAAGGAAGCCCCTACAGGGGCAGACCTAGAGCTCAGAAGATTGGGTCCCAACTTCACACAGCCCAGCCCTGCAGGGATTCTAGCAGGGAACTGAACCATCCCATTTGGGGACAGCAGGAACACCCTGCTAGGATCTTTTCCCAGAACAGAGTTTCCCGGGCCAGTGCCCATGGTGAGTCAGCCCATACATCCCTCTGGGGCCAGACTCTCCCACCCAGGATGGGGCTCCAAGCTAGGACACTGGCAACCTCAAGGCTGGGGAGAGGTGTATGCTATAAGCAAGGGGGCAGAGCTGTGGGGGCTAGAGAACTCACTTCTTATTTGGTCCTACTGTGTGACCATGGCCAATAATAACACTGACAATTTACTAAGTATCTACTATGTGCCAGGCACGAGGCTGGGTGCCTTTGCATACCCTATCTCATGGAGTTCCCTGGACAACTCTGCAAGGCAAGTATCACTGTCCTTATTCCACAATCAAGGAAGCAGACTCAGAGAAGTGAAATAACTTGCCTGAGTCACCCAACTAGCAAATGACAGGGTGTGGCTCGGAAGGCCAACTTGAAGTTGTTCTCCAGGAAAGTGCCTTTTCTCCAGGCTCAGATGCCTCATCAATAAAATGAGTATATCGGACTAGATGATCCCAAGGGGCCCTCCCTGCTCTCACATTCAGAGATTAGGTGATCCACAGAGACTTTCAGTTAAAAGGGCATCTGGGCCGTTCACCTGGCTCAGGCCCAGGCCTTCAGTTGTACCCTTGCATACTATGGAGACAAATGATCCTGAAGCCCTATCGTCATTCATCTCCCCTTGAGGCTTCAGGTCTTCTTGGTGTCTACTCTAATCCCTGCCTGCTGACTGTGGAGTCTGGGTAGGTGGACAGCCCCAGGCCAACCACCAGAATGTCTCCCAGTGACTCAGGTCCCAGCCTGGGCCTTGGAAGACTGTCTGTCCAAATCGCTTGGGCATGAAGAAGCCTTTGGGTCTGAAGCTGAACCAGGTAGATTCAGCTAGAGATTAGCAGGGTTTGGACTCTTGAAGCCACACTCCTGGGGTCCAATACCTCCTCAACCTAATCTTAATCTCCTAAACTTAATCTCACCCCTTGATTCCTGTACCAGCCCACCTCCTGCATCCATATCTCCCTGACTCCCTAGTACCAGGCCTAAATTGCACACTTACAGAGGCCATGCCCATCCCGGGGCACAGAAAACCTCCAGTGCCCTCCCCATCCAGCGTTTCCCTGAGCCAGAAACCACATCGAAGCTTGATTGCTGGAAAAGACCATCCCACGTGCTCCTGTGAAGGGCTTTGTAAAAATCTATTTTAAGGCCTGGAAAAGTCTCCCACCCTCAGCCCCAACTGGGAGTCTTGATGAGCATTCTCTCTGGATCCTCTGGTGCCCCCACCCCCTCACCACCCCCATCCAGCTGCCCTATTTGAAGCTTTCCTGGGGAAGTTGTTACTCTGAACAAAATAAGCAGGAAGAGATTTTAAAACAAAACCAGCTGGTGTCTGGCTGATGCCACAAAGTGAGGAGGTCTTGGCGGGGGGAGGGGGGGCTGGCTCTTTTGTGATGTGGGGTCCAGTGTGACTGTGTGTGACAAAGTGGGTCACCCACCAGTCTGAGCATAACTGGCATTCCAAAACTAGGTGTCTGAGAAAATACACTTTTCCAGATGTAGCTGTTAAGGTGTGTGTGAATCTGGATTCATGAGGTATGGGCATATGGGAGTGCAGCGTGCTTCTGTGACCATGGGCATTGTGTGTGCGTGTGTGTAACTACGCTTCTGTCATCTGGGTCTGTGCATCAGTACACAGAGGGCTGTGCTCATGCGATATGCACGACCACGAACAGTGTGAATGGCTGTACTATGCTTTCCTGGCAGTAGGGGTGGCCCAGCTGAGCAACGGGGCACACTGTTTATGTGACTACGCAAGGTGTGTGTGTCTCTCTTGTGACTTGGAATGTATATGCATAACTGTAACTACATTTGGGTGACTGTTTGCACTTGGGAAACTCAGAGAACACAGGTAAGCCTGAATCCTGTGGAAGTGTGTCTGTGAAGTTGTGTCACTTGTCACAGTGCCAGGAATACGACGGCTGGTTCATAAAGCATCGATGATGAATGTGTACGTCTGTGCATGGAGGCAGCAGAGTTAAAGTTTAGGAGCATGAACCCAGAAGCCCGGCTGCTGGGGTTTGAATTCAGGCTCCACCAGCCCACTAGCTATGTAGTTTGGGGCATCTTACTCCCCGTTCTCTGTGCTTTTGTATCTGCCTCATGGAGTTTGCGGGGATTCCATGAGTCAGGACATGGACCGGACCCAGAACAGCACATGGTATACGGTACGTGCTCTAGAAGTATCTGTGGGCGTGACAACCTTCCCTGGGTGCCCTGTCATGACAAGGTGCCCCAACCCAGGCCCTCCGAGTCCTATGCCCTCTCACCAGATGGGGGCAGCTGCAGCGTGCTCTTGCTCCACTGGGTCAGGCCCACGATGGCCACCATCTTGGCCCCAAGGCTGCTGCGCCGCTTCTTGGCCGTGGTGGTCCCGGTCCCACCCCCAGCCTGCTGGGGGCCGCAGATTTCACCACTGATGCTGGAGCTCCGAACCACATTCCTGGAGGCCGCGGCCGAGGCCGGACCCGGCTCCCCGTTAAACATGGTCCGAGGGGTGGCAAGGCCTCAGGCAACCCTGTGGGGGAGAGCAGGAGACAATTGGGTCCCACATCAGGCCCTGGAGCCACTCTACTGCAGCCCACCGCTTCCTAGCTGTGTGACCTTGGGTCAGTCACCTGGCCTCTCTGAGGCTGTGAGGATTAAATGAATAAATAAAGGTAAAGAGTGTACCCAGCGTCTGGCTCAATAAATGGTACCATTCTTATGAGCATATGGCTGTCCTGGCAAGTGACCTGGTTTGGCAGTCAAGGCAGAGGTTGTGGAGTCATTTGGCCCACTCTCGAATTCCAAAGGCCTCTACACACTGGCTGTGTGATCTTGTGACCAAGCACCTTGGGGTTTCAGTGAACACCTCAGCAAAATGAGAAATAAAAGCACTTACCTCACAGGATTGTTGTAAGGATTAAATTAGAGCATGCGAAGGCGCCTAGAACAGTGTCAGGCATGGAGTAAATATTCAGTAGGTGTGATTACTTTCACAGCCAATAATAAGAACAAGGAGAGCAAAAGTGGCCCCAGCCTCGGGGGACGACGGAAGGGGACCTCCTGCTAAAGGGGACAGCACAGAGAAGTATAAAGGAGCAGGCACAAGTCACCCTGAAGCATCCCACAGAGCGGCAGCCTCTGGAGGTGTTTTAACCCGTTTCCCTCCCAGGGTCTTTCCTGTCTATGCATTTTTTTTTTTTTTATTTGAGACAGAGAGAATGAGAGAGACAGAGAGCACATGAGAGGGGGGAGGGTCAGAGGGAGAAGCAGGCTCCCCGCCGAGCAGGGAGCCC